ATGGATATTAAACAAAAGTGGGAAACAGAATTGCAACTTGAATTGTCAGAGGATGATTGGTGCTCTATATGACTTTTACAGCTCACTTCCACCTGCTCAAGTAAATGGAGAGAATTTGGTTGGAAAAATCTGGTGAGGTATTTTATTACTCCACACATCAAAAGCAGCAACTGAAAACCCCTCAGCAGTGTTGGAGACAGTGTGGTGAATGGAGTGCCAATTATTCTCATGTGTTTTGGAAATGTATTCAAATTAAATCCTTTTGGGAAAATTTTGCAATTGTAATTAGGGGTGTCAAATTATCACATTAATTGCAATGAATTAATTACAGTCATATTTAGCGCGTTATGTTTTTTAATTGTGTTAATCTTATTTTTAATCTCTAACTTTACGGTTTCTGTCTTATTATAAAATCTGTTTTTATATGTTGTTAGGACACAGTCGCACTGTGCAGTCCTGCTCCGCTCGCTCCCGCAAAGAATTGTAATTTTCTTTTCCGTTCTCGCCACATCTGTGATAAACCTGCACATGTCTGATCTTTGAAAACATCATGACACAAACACAGAACAGACTCACCTTCAGCATCATTATCCCTCTGTCACAGAAACAACACTCATATTCCACTGAGTCGTGTCCTTTAGTTCCACAGAATCTGAACCGCATCACTGCACAAGAGTGTTTTTTTTTCTTTTCTCCGCGTAGTTTATGCAGATTAGCCGGTTTTAAGTTTCATTTCTGTGAGAGTTGCGCAAAACTGCATTAAACACATTATAATGTCAAACGGGCTGATGTGGCTCTAGAGTCGTGATGTTTATATGTTGTAAAGTTGAGTTTATTTATGCAGATTAATAATAGTAATAATAATGATGATACTTATATAAAAACGTTAATGATAATATGAAAATAATGTAATAAAGAATTCAAATGAAAATACCTCAAGTTGAAGCCTTTCTCAGCAATTTTTAGGTGAGATTAAAAAAGAGATTAATTAGATTAATTAATTACAGATCATAATTAATTCATCTCTCAATTTTTTTTATCGCTTGACAGCACTAATTGTAATGGAAGAAGTATTTGGCTATAAAATACACAATGACTCATGGGTTCTGTACTTGGGCTTGTTGCGTGAAAACAACATTCAAATGGAGGAATTCTACTTGTTGTGATGCTCTTGACTAATAAGAAAGTAAAAATAAGGAATTTTCTGAAGGATGATTCTTTAAAATTACAGCAATAGACAGCTATCATGGAGGAAATTTAAAGGATGGAAAAAATAATGTATTATTTGTAACTGAAAGCTGGTCAGTTTGAAAAGCAATGGTCCAGATAGTCTATTTACAGAGCTCACTCCAATGTATGAGGTATTTTATTTTTCAGTTTTTTTGTAGAACCCCACAGACTGTTTGTTCTTGTATGTACATTTGTTAAAATTTGGAAAAAGCACAAATAAAAAGTTTAAAAAGATTGGCATTAGCTTTAGCCTGTTCCTCTTTAAACAACAAGATGATGCAAGAGCGATTGCCTCACAGCTGACACAACCAAACTGTAAACAAATTCTCTGACAACAATATGATGTTGACAGATTCTAGTTTCAGATAATTTGCATAATACAGAACTTAGGTTTTAAAAATGAATTACCAGTAAGTAGGAGTGGAACAGGTTGGTTAATGCCAGACACAAGATTGACCAAACATGTGTTTAACTGGAGTCTGTTACATAAATCGTCCTGGAGCAGACAGGTTGAGAACATTTTTGAGGATGCAGATCTACAGTTTATCTATAGAAATAAGTTGATCTGTAGTGTCAGACAAACTAGGAAAATGTACTTTGACAAGTATAAACAGAAATGGCACACTGAAATCTTATGTAAATTAAGAAGGACTACTTTGGTCCTGAGCCTTATGTCACTCTGAACTTGAGCAGAGGTCAGAGGTCAGTATGTGCCCAGCTGAAGTGTGGGACTCTGCCTCTGGGACTGGAGACGAGACGCTTCCAATCAGTGCCAAAGGAGGAGCGCTGTGCGATTTAAAGGACATTGAAAATAAGATGCATTTTCTGTGCTACTGTCCTTTGTATCATGACCTGCGCTGTCAGTTGTTGTATATGTTGTATACGTTGTATACGTTGTATATGTTGTATATCTTACTGTTTGTTGCTGTGTCTGCTGAGGAGAGAATGGCGTATTTGTTTAAATGTAATTTTTGTTTTCAAGCTGTCTCAGTTTGTGTTGAAAGCCTGGGGCCCCCGTAAGAGGACACTTTATGTCTGGTGAGTGATCTGTCTGCTTATTGTTTCATGTGTGTTATAAACCAACACCAACTAAATGGTGCATGACACTAAATAAGTAAAATAAACTAAGAAAAAAAAACAGTAAATTCATAATTATGGTTACACAACACAATATGTATTATCTGTTTTTGTCTTATTTACTTTGTTTGATTACATAAGACTGGTGACATTGGAAATAAAGGATTTCACTGGCTTTTTTTTTTTTTTTTTTTTTTTTTTAGCTTTCTACCATATTATAGGGAAGGGGGAGTGACTTGGTGCTGGGAGCAAAGGGAGAGGAGCATCCGAAACAAAAGTGAAACTAATTAAACATGTGAATACATTATAGCATTTTCAAAACAATAAAAGGCAACATGGTGATCTAAATATGTTCTGTGTTAACAGCTAATACCCTATAAGAAAAAAAACAACTCGCTCTTTAAATGACATCTGACGTGAGTAATCAAAGAGAATGTTATCAGAAAGAAATCAGATGAGTGGGCTGTTTACATGTCATTTTAAAAGGGTTTTAATTCCAGAAATCTGATTTTGAGTGAGCATGTGACCACAGACACTCTCTATGGTTATGGTTTCACTGTCAATAACAGTTAGTAAACAGTGAGTCAAATTTAAGTTTCTTCTAACAATAGTTTTAAATAAACTAAAACTAAATTTGACTGAAATAAAAAAAGAATGTATATAAATGTAAAGAATGCTACAGTACAGTTTTTAACAAATTAAGTGTTATTATGATTACAATAACTTTGGGTTGTCAAAAGTACCAAAAGTCAGATAATAACTGATGCTAAAACAAGGAGAAGACACGAGTAGGACTGGGACGAGACAATTTCTACAAGACAAGACGAGATACGAGACTGGGCCCATGAGAACGAGACAAGATTAGATTTTAACATAATTCCTAATATATACATTTCAGTTTCCAATTTTGGCCTCATAATTTTGTATTTATTTGATTTAACATCCATTTTATTACTGTTGTTTGGAACTGTAACTCACCAACACAAAACCCTTTTCTGTCCAAATGTAAACACGTGGAAAAAAATCTCACAATATCAATTTTCTCAAAGTATTACGATTTTTATGTTGAAAATCACATATTGTCTTAAGAAAGTGTTTTTTTTTTTTATTATCATCTTGGTACTGGAATCAATATTGAGCATCAAGTCCTTAGTACAGGGTATCTGCAGGTTTGACTACCTCAAATTTAAGACTTTTAAAGACCTTTTTAAGACCACTTTTATGAAAATTAAGACCAACATCGCACCCATTATGCGGGCAAAACACACCAGATCCTAATTCTAATAATGACCAACCAACTATTGTACTATATCTAGAATCTAAGAGCATGATTTCACGTTGCTGGTTTTTTTTTTTTCCCCTCCATTTAACATTACACTGCAGCCCGGTTGAGTATACAAAAAAACCCAGACTAATAAAATTTTAAAAAATAAGACTTTGACAACATAATTTAAGACTTTTTACGGCCTTAATTTAGGAACATGAAATTAAACACCTTTTTAAGACTTTTAAGACCCCGCGGCTGCCATGTAGTATCGAAATCAACTTTGAAATTTTAGTATCATGACAACACTACTATAACTACTACCGTTAATATCATAATATAATATAAGAAGAAGTACCCAGATTAATTACTCTAGTAAAAGCACTAGTTGGCTTCTCCATCAGAGCTGTTTATGGAGATGGAACTGCTGCCTTATTACATAATCTTAAAACACAGGCTATTTTTAGTACAGTGCAACAAAAACTAAAATATTTACAGCCAAAGAGCATGATTTTATTTTATTTTTTTGTCATTTTTGTTCTTATTGTTTCTTGAAGGTGCATTGTGTAAATTTTCAAGTGAAGGTCAGTCAAATGCTTTTCTCTGTGGAGTTGTTATCGCTCTGTCTGGAATGTGTCACAGTACAGCATTAAAACGTTCTATCTTCATGGAGACTAAACCAGACCAAGGTACAGGTCAGATCCGTGGAGAGGCGACCCCGCTCACAGTCAGAATGCCTGTTATTTTAGGTATTTTTGAGCTGTAAAACCACTTGTAATTGAGGACTAAAGTTGTAAATGTAAGATAGAGAGCTGTTTAATGTCATACTGTGGAACATTCCAGGCAGAGCAACGACCCTCGAGAAGAAAAGTTACACAATGAACCTTTAAAGTGGCCAAATGTGCATAGAATTAACGGTATAATTAAATATGAAAAATTACATTGTACCTATGTATGTTTTATTAAAGTCCAAAATGTAACTTTCTTACTCAAAGTATTTTATTTTACCTATAATTTTTCATTCTTCTTTTATTCTTTTGCTTATGCATCATTCTTATATCTTTTGTTCTTTCTTTATTATCATGTTCATTAAACAAATTCATATTATTGACTTGACTTTCATTATTAAAGGTGCATTGTGTAACTTTTCTGGTGGAGTCCGTCACCTGCTTGTTTCTATGGAGATGTCATTGCTCTGCTTAGAATGTTCCACAGTGTGACATTAAACAGCTCTACTTTACATTTATCTTTTCATTTACGCCTTTCCACAGATCTGACATGTAACTTGGTCTAGTTTGGTCTCCATGAACATAAAAAGGTTTAATGTCATATTGTGGAACATTCCAGACAAAGCAAGGACATCTCCACGAAGAAAAGCATTAGACGTGACACAATGCACCTTTAAAAAGCGTTATTGATTGTTATTTACCTTGACGAAGTTGGACGGTAGCGACTCCATCTCTGAAGCCTTCTGCGCTAATGTCTCTAGGTTGACCTCCTGCGACACCCTCCTCTTCCTGCGGGTGCTCTGGATGACACCCGTGGGCGCGCCGTTTTGGATCTGGCCGCCCTGATCCGGAAACGAAGCCACTGACGAAGAAGAGGAAACCAGAAACGGATTTTCCACGCTCGGCGCTCCCCCTTCTTTCGACAACCTCCGCGACCTTCTCAGAGACGGCTGCGGCGACACGGGTTCGCTCGGCTGGATCTGGTGTAACGGATCTGTGCTCTGCTGCTGCGGTTCCGGCGTTATATCTTGAATGATCGGTTCCTGGATTTTCGGGGGAGCTGGGAGAGAGGATTCATTTGAGAGGACGACGACAGGCTGCTGAGCGGAGGGGAAAAAGTCATGCATGTTTTGTTGGTTCAAACGCTGATTCTGCAACTGCTGCAAGTTCAGCCTTTGTTCGTGGACCAATTGTTGCTGCGTGGAACCCTGGCTTTGTATCATTTGCATTGGATTGTGTGGTAAAACATTATGCGCTTTACCCTGATAACTAGGAGGATTGGGGAGAGCTGAAGTAGTCCGATTAGGCTGAAACGCGTGGTAATATGACGTCAGATGCTGCGTTTTTGGCTGTCCGAATGCCAACTGAAAAGGCTGCAAAACGGAGCTACTGCTGCTTGCGTTGCTGTGTGGCTGTTGGCTAAGAGTTCCCGGTTTTAAAGTGTCCTGAAACGTTTGGGAAGGGGGCTGAGCGGAAGTGGCGTTCGGCTGCTGGGGCTGCGGTTCTTGCACCGACTTCCCAAACCCAGCCTGGCTCCTCGTATCTCCCATAAAGTTTCCATAATTTGGTGCCCAGTTTGTCATGCTGTTAGTCCAAGCAGCTTGCCTTTGCTGGCTCTGCTGCTGCTGCACTGCTTCTTGTTGCGACCACTTCATTGGCACAGTCTGTTGGTAGTGCCCTCCTCGGCTCTGATCTCCTTTATCCGGGCTAAAAATAACAGAGTTTAAATACATATTATGGTGCCCGTCCGTGTTAGAAGTCACCGTACTCGCCGCTTCGCTTTGCCCGGGGTCCACAGCGTTGCCGGACTGGAGGTAGAAGTCCTGCTGCTGGGATGCCTCCTTCATTGCTTGTTCGCTGAAAAATGTGATGCGTTTTCCGGTTCGTTTGGCGCCTGGTTTTTGCGGGGCGGGCACATTCATGACGGGCATCAAGAAGCAAAGGAGAGATTTCAACCGACCATCCAAAAAGAACCGAAAAGACTACATTTAAGGTCAAATACTGGGGACGGTTTTCAAACATTCACTGTAGAAACTCCTCTTCTTCAAGCTGACTTCGCTGTAGAGTTGAGTTCTTTATGCATCTGTGAATCCCTGTGCAGAAAAGAGAGAAACAAAAATAGATCAGATGTGAGATTGAGCAAACACTTGAATAAATGTTAATAATGATTTACTGAAACTTTTCTAGTGAAGAGTTGCCTCCTCCAGCTTGTTGCATAGAGATGGTGTGTAAGATTTTCCGCAATATGGCATTAAACTTATCACTCTACACGGAGATAAGCAGGAGATGCTACCAGGCCAAGTTACAGGTCAGATCTGCGGAAAGGCGACCCCACTGACACTAATCATGTATCTTTTTCAATGTATTTTAAGCAAACAAAACTCCTTTAATTAAATGAATAAATGCAAATAGGGGAGTGCAAAAATATTGTAATATCGATATACCGTATCGTTTAATTTGATGATACAGTATTGATATCGTGGGCTTCTGTATCGATATATCACCAAGAGTATTTTTTTGGTATATTTTACTCAATTATTTTGTTACAGCTACAGTTTTGTTGCTTGTTCAGAAAAAAGGAAACTTGTTTAGGCATCACATTTTACATTTTCACGTTTGACATTTTGATGATTAAAATGGCTTTTTTTCCATATTAACTTTGAACAAGAAGTGGTTTAACAAAGACTTTTAGTATCACAGCCATGATTTAGCCTTTATTTTTTACTGAACTGTATCAAATCGACGTCAAACTGAATTGAAAATGCACTGTATCCAGATATGTATCGTATCGTGGCCTATGTATCGAGATATGTATCGTATCAGAAACTTCTAAATGATACCCAGCTCTAAATCCAAGACAGATGAGTTCAATGCCATACTGTGGAACATTTTCACCAAAGATATAACATCATCATGAAAGCAAGCAGGTGGTGGACCCCTGTCAGAAAAGTTACATTGCGCACCTTTAAGCAAAATTAAACAGAAAAAAAAAAGGTACAAACATGTTCTGAAATACATGGGATTATTAGATTAATTTGATGACTAATGCAATGGGAACAGCAGAACTAGAATGTTAAGTATTTCACTAAAATGTAATTAATAAAAAAATTTAAATAAAATGAAAAACATGAAGTGAAAGTTTTATTGTACTGTAAATCTTTTTGAGTGACATATTAAGGCAGATAAAGACTCCGCTATTCATGGTTTCAGAGTGATCAAAAGTGAGCACAGTTGCCATAACAATTACCAATAAAAAAAAAACATTATACTTTTTGAATGGTCCAAAGTACTCAAAATGGAACCTATAAACAAGAAGAAGAAACTAAAATCCATCAAAATTTGTATTGTTATTGCTCCTGAACTCAAGAATCGTCCAAGTGGATTCCATCACAAAAGGAAATTGAATTCTAAGCATACGTTTTTAAGAGTGAATCAATTTTTAAAACTTCTGTCCAGTTTACAGAATCCACAAATTATAATGGGAAATGCAAATTGTCAGGACACCATAAAATGAGCGGCTTTTCCCCGAATCACTGAGCCGTACTTAAATACCTTAAAGTCACAACACCAAAAAGGGGGTCTTCAAAAGGTGGTCCCGCCCAGAACTGTGCGTTTAAACATGGTGTTAGCTCTGGGAACAATGGGCCAGGTCAGGGAAGTGTGGAGAGGTGTGGAGAGGGGGAGGAGAGGGAGGAGAGGGAGAGGGAGGGGTCTAAACACTGGAGTGAGATCATATGACTCAGGGATAAAGGCCCCATGCTGCAGGCCACAGAGGAGCAGAGCTGAAGAGCAGGACTTTACCCAGGAGTCTTCATTCAAAACATCTAAATGTCACAGTGTAGAACCAAGATCAGTCAGAAGAGACAAGAGGACAGTGCTGGAAAGACGAGACACGAGACTGGGACCACAAGAATAAGACAAGATATAGACAGATACTAATGCACCCCGCTTATTTTTTAGTTTATCAGTTTATATGTTTATTATTATTAACCATTGGAACCATTAACAAGTTCCATGTTTGTGAATTTTGTTCAGTGAAAATGATTCTGATAGTTAATTAATTGCTGACACTATTTTGTACTTATTTGATATCTTTGCTGTCATTGTATTACTGCTTTTTCAAACTACAGCTTCTCAAATGTACCAACTACCAACCGAAACTTACGAGCACTTAAACCTTTTTGTCAGAGCCAAATGTAAACACATATTTTTCACATGTGTGCACATTAATAATGTGGTAATCTGATCCAGGTGCATGAGGTTTTGTCCCACCCCTATAGAACAGGACTAGAGACTTCACAACTGTTTCACACTTAGGCAAACTTCATAGATCCACAAGGGAAATGACTTAGTTCAGAAGACCTGGTTAAGACCTAATTAAGGCCTGGTTCAAACCTGATTCAGACCTGGTTTAGTAGTGGTTTACTACTTGCTTAGTCCTGATTCAAACTTGGTTCAGACCTGATTCAGATCTGGTTCAAACCTGATTCAGATCTGGTTCAGACCTAGTGCAGACCTGGTTCAGTCCTGGTTCAAACCTGATTCAGACCTGGTTCGACCTAGTGCAGACCTGATTCAGACCTGGTCCAGACCTGGTTTAGTCCTGGTTTAGTCCTTGCTTAGCCCTGATTCACACTTGGTTTAGAACTAGTTTAGCCCTGGCTCAGACCTGGTTCAGACCTGGTTTAGTCCTGGTTCAGACCTGGTTCAGAACTGTTTTAGCCTTAGACTTAGACAAACTTTATTGATCCACAAGTGAAATGACTTGGCTACAGCAGCTCATACATCACTATATAATATAATAACAAAGACTATACAATATAAATGGTAATAAATTCTAAATAAGTAGCAAAAATAGCAAGAGACAGGTGTCAAATAAGGCAAAATTATATAAATGTAAATGTACAAGTCAAAATAAACTATACAAATATAGTAATACAAATATATCTCGGCTATTTAAAAGAGGTGGTAAAAGGCTGTTCTCTGGACTGGATCAGCAGGAACATTTATTTAACCTGGACGTGTCAGAGGTTTATTTGGTTCATTGTACATTTTCAGGAAAAGTTGCGGAGCTCCGTTAGCTTCTTTCAAAGCTCTATCTGAGTCCTCTGCCGACAGCTCATCTGAAAAGCAGCTGTATCTAAATCCTTTCCAAACTAAGTCCACGTTGTATCCACACAGAGGGCAGAGGCACACAAGCTTTTCCCTCATTAGTTTTGTCCAGGAGCGAAGAGCATGTAGAGCTAAACTGAACTCGAGCTGTACAATACAAATGTGTAGTAGACCTACAATATGAAGCAGAAATGCACATATTACTAGGAAAGTAACAATAACTGAAATATCATGATACCGTATCGTCAAAGTTCTCACAGTAATATAGTGGACCGTCACAATATATCAAATTACAAGTCTATTTGCTTAAATGAAGAGTTATGGTGCAGAAAAAAAGACAGGGAACTACATAGACCATGATCCTTTGCTCCTTTTCAGTGCAGACTACAAGAAGAAATAACAGTTCTAACACTTTAAAGTATTAGTTCTTTGGATTAAGTCTTGTCAAGTCATTTTAAGAGGAAAAAGAAGCATATTCACAGTTTTGTTTTTGCCTGCACAAAATATTGCAATAAATATCGTACTGTGAGATTGGGATTTTGTTACATTCCTATTCGTGAGCCATATTGTGAGCTTTCCCACGATATCCCACGCAATAAATATCGAACTGTGAGGTTCATACTGTGACAAACTTGGATATCGTTACACCTCTACATATTACACAACATTTAAAAGGTACATAGAGTAACTTTTTGATTTGGGGTCCGTCACCTGCTTATTTCTATAAAGATGTCATTGCTGTGCCTGGAAAGTTCCACAGTGTGACTTTAAACAGCTCTACTTTACATTTATTCAATTACAGGTGGTTTTGTAGCTCAAAAATACCAAAAAATGAAATACTTTGAGTAAGAAAGTTATATTTTGGACATTAAGAAAACACATATAGGTACAATGCTTTACCTGTAATTCCATGCACATTTGGCACCTTTAAAGGTTCATTGTGTAACTTTTCTGGTGGAGGGTCCGTTTCTTTTGATATGTCATTGCTGTGCCTAGAATGTTCCACAGTATGACATTAAACAGCTCTCTATTTACAACTTTAGTCAAGTGTTGTAAGTGTTTTAAAGCTCAAAAATACCTAGAATAACAGGCATTCTGACTGTGAGCGGGGTCGCCTCTCTGCAGATCTGACCTGTAACTTGGTCTTGTTTGGTCTCCATGATGAAAGAAAGGTTTAATGCCATACTGTGAAACATTCCAGACAAAGGAGAAAAGCATCTGTCTGACCTTACCCCATAAAAGTTACAAAATGTAGCTTTAAACTTATTTATACTGGGGCAGGAGGAAATGTATTTGTTTCTTGTCCTCGTAAATGTCTGGAGTCCTGAACTGGACAATGGCACAACAAAATCTCACTTAGTTTTTTCCTCGTATTAAAAAAGTAAGTGCACTGTTCAAAATGCTGCTTAAATATAAAATTCGGGTAAAAGTGACATTAAACTCCACAAATTGTATGAAAGAAAATGATGAAAACAGAAAGGATTGGTGCTCAGTCAATCCAGTGCAGCTCTTCTCCAGTAAATAGCCCAGTGGAGTGCGCTGATTCACCCTTTGGAGCCTGGAGCCGTTTATTATCACAAATCCAAATACACAATAATTTTCCAACCATTAAAAATGAGCTTTGGGGCAAATTACACTGGAATAATTATCAAAACAAGAGCTAATTTCATTTTAACGAGCTTCACTGTTTCACTGATAAACATTTCTGCTTGGTGAAATGGCACAGTCCTGGTTTAGTCTTGGTTTAGTCCTGGTTTAGTCCTGGTTTTAATCTTGGTTTAGTCCTGGTTTAGTCAGGTGCAGTCCTGTTTAGTCCTGGTTTAATCCTGGTTTAGTCCTGGTTTAGTCCTGGTTTAATCCTGGTTTAGTCCTGGTTTAATCCTGTTTCAGACCTGGTTTAGTCCTTGCTTAGACCTGGTTTAGACCTGGTTCAGGCCTGATTTAGACCTGGTTTAGACCTGGTTCAGTCCCAGATCAGACC